CTTAGGCAGAAATCAGCTACATTAAACTGTGAAAGGGCTCAGGCCACTGTATCAGCCATAATGGGGCAAGGGGAAGTAGTTTTCAGGAGAAAATGCTTAGTCAGGTGTGAAAACATCCTTACAAAATAAACAGAGCAGGGTAAAATAAAATCTTTATTTTTTCAGGGAATGCTTTCTCACTGGCATCAGAGTTTTGTGTTTGTGACTCAGTGCCCATCCCTTCCCATCTAGTGGTGGGTCTGCTTGGTGTTAGCCTTTCTGTGACCCCAGATGGTTACACTGAGATCCGCTGGGTTGTAGCTCTCTGCTGGAGTTTGGGGAGCTTCGGCTGGTCTGGGTGCTCTCCCTTGGGTGCTGGTCACTCTGGCAAGAAATGGAAGAATATTTCATTTTCAACAATATCTTGGAGTTTACTCCTTCTTGCTGCTTACGTTTCTGAAACTTACAGATTTTGGGAGGAGGAAAGTTAATTCCGAGGCAGGTCCAGCAAGAGACCAACTTAGAGGAAAAAAAGACAATCTCTTGTGAGCGTCTTCAGAGCTGCAGTGCAAGAGCAGCTCAGGAACATCTGTTAACATTTCCCTGCCCATAGCATAACTGCAATAGCACCATCTGGAAAATACAGGGAGACAAGTTATAAACCTGTTTTTAATGTGAACTGGTACTGAATGGGACCCTTTGCCTAGCCCAGGGAACAGCTCCAGGAGGGCTGCTAATTCACTACCACCTCCGACCTTCTGCATCCATCCCGGAGGAGAGGGAAAGGCTGACAAACCCTCTTCTGTGCTGCTTTTGTTTTATTGTATTAGGCTCATAAAGGCACTCTCAGGGCCCATCTTTCTCCAGCGGAAAGGAAAAGCCAGGGGGGAACGGGAAAGAGGAAGACGTAGCAAAAAAAAAAAAAGACAGGCGGAGCTCTAGCTCCATTTGTTTTTGGTGGATGGTGATTAATAGGTTTGAAGGTGAATGGCAAGCTCGGGGTCCTGTGTGATGGGGAAGGAGAGGGGGCCTGGGGCACTAGTGCTCATCCATCTCTCCTGTTCATGGTTCCATTTGCAGGGGATGCTCATGGGAGGCTGCCTACCCCCTGCCCAGCGTGTGGGGTACAGGGTCTTGGGGCACGCTTCAGAGGTGCTCCATGACCCTACTGTTCTCCAGGGCAGGAGCTTCCCCCTGCCCTGAGCTGTGAGGATGGAAGAGAGAGGCAGTGCTGTAGGGTCAGGCTACCTTGCTGCTGTGGTGGCGTGGTGCTTTGCTTGGAAATGGAATGCTTTTTGTAGATTTTAGTAACGCCACATGACCCCCACAAGGACAGACCTTCTGGCAACCTTGGCATGTTCTTCTCTTGAGTTTATACCATGTTTATTATTAAAGCCAAACAAGCTATGAATTTGCAAACAAAAAAACCTGCAGTTACAAACTCTTCCTATTTAAAGATGGTTTTCTCTTTGTGTGCCCAACAATGCAATGTTTCATCTTGTTCAAGTCTTATGTTGCTTTTAGAGACTTAGGAACTATTGATTTATACAGCATGTATTAACTTCTTCAATAAATGGGGAGTATTCATCAGTGGGGTGTATTAAATTGGGCTGTATACACATAGAAGCATCTTTCATCCTGTTAATGAAATGTCCTTACCATGCAACAAAGACTAATACACAGCAATTTACACACACAATCCCCTGCAGTTTAAATCTGAAGCTCAGTTGTTTTGGGTTTTTTTTTCCCTAAAGGCTCCTATCAAACTTAGGCTAAATGGATCTCAGAATCCCTCTCTAATAAATATCAGTCCAAAATCTGTTGAATTTGTTACCTTTTTTTTTTTTCATTCCACAGCTCAATTGTTGTTTAAAATCATCTGTGTTTAAGCGCTCCCAAAAGCATTTCAAATTCATATATAGAGATTTAGTAGTTGGGTCCCTACAGGGACAATTTCCTCTGGTTTGCTTCAGGCAGGGGTTATCAAGAAAAGCAAACTTCTGTTGTTTTTTTGCAATTCTTTACCATGCCCTCTAACCCAGTGCATGAGATCCCAGCTTTCAGTGCAGACAAGTGATTTACCAGCAGATGACTTGGTGCTTTGTAGACGCTGAGATTTCTCTCCAGAAATCTCCACTTACTCTCGTCCTATTATCGCATGCACTGATGCTAATCTGCATGTGCCCGTGCAGCTCTGCTTTCCCTTTCTGACATAGCCATAAATGGAATTCTTCAAGTTGCCAGAGAAATTCCGGCATCTCACAACAGCTTTTAGCTTAAAACTGCCCTTCCTGAAGTACTCACAAATGTGTCTTGGAGAAGGGCCTTTTGCAGGGGGTTGGGTGGCTGAGATCACCTAATAGGTGTCTCCTATTGACTCTTCCCTGGTTTACCTTTCATTGCCAGTGGATGGGGTTAGGACCACACTTGTTTCTCTGGCCGAGCTCCCATTGACTTCAAAGGAAGATGCATATGCAGGATTAATCCTGCTCTTTCCCAGCTAGTCCTTTCTTTTTCTCTTTTCCAAGGAAGCTCAGTTAACTTCAGGAGTTCTGCTTTTAAAGAGTAGCTCATTATCATACTGTGCATGATTAGCTTAGCTTGCAAGTTGTGTGTGCTATTCTGAGCAGAGTGAATACCTTTTCCCAGTGTGTAATAAACTCTGCAAAACAGAGCGCAGTCCAAGCCGAGGGCAGCAATACAGCTGCTGACTGATTTTTGAGTATAGAGATGTTAATTTCCCATTTTTTCCCCAGTACATTCTCCCCACACCTCTGCCCCAACACCATCAGAGTTGCTAAGTATCCTGCCCTTATACCTACTACCTTTATATGAATCATCCAACTTCAGGGCAGTCATCCAAGAAAAGTGACTTACCTGGGGAAAACTTTGCAGACAAGTCTAGGCTGTTGATTTTTTGTTATTGATTTTCCCCTTTCCATTCCATTTTTTTTCTGTGAAAAGGGTTAAGTAAAGCACATAACAATGTAAAAGCCATGCCATTTTGGCAAGAAATTGCAGGGGTCTTGGTTTATCAGAGCAGTGGAAAGTGGTTTCCCACAGTACACGTGTAACCCTCTATGGTATGTATATATATATATATAGGTGTGCAAGTCTATTGTTCTCCTCGAGCATTGTTTCTTGTTTCTTGGCTTATGTCTAACCTTCCTTAGGTGTCCCTTACTTGTGTTTTTAACTAACCAGTTCCAGTTTCTATGAGAACAAACTCTCAGTGGAAGACAGAGCACTGTGCTGTCTTAACGTCCTTCAGGACCTGGATGAGGTTTTTAGCAGCAATGTGGATGTAATTGGGAGAGCAGAGAGCTCCAGCAGCCAACACTCATGCTTTGGTCACCAAAGAACAATCTGTGGCCAACAGAAATCCCTCTCATTGGGAACATTGCTTTCTGCAAACTAGATTTCAGCTAGCCATTTGGCCACGTACAATGCTATGCTGTTAGTGTGAAAGCTTGCTAAATTCTTCAGTACTTTCAGAGCGTTGAGTGAGCGTTCACTTGGAAGAGAACAGATTTTTGGTCAGAGGACATCTGGAAAGAAGGGGCTAAATCAACATGGCTTCTCTGATGATGAGGCTGGCTCTGTGTAGCTGTGAGCTGCCCACAGCTCTACAGCTGCCCTCAGACCCATGTGCCATGAATCGTGTGGGCTTTTCTGTGCCACAGAGCTGAACCATTCTCTGCAAGGGCTGCAGAAAAGTAAATCCTGCCGTCGTTTCACAAATAACTGAATTGTTTCTGAAGGGCTTCTATGAGAAGCTGAGAAGGTCAGAGCTGAGGTGCATGGGCTCCAGCAGTGGGGTGCTGTGCTGGCAGCAGTGGGCGTCGGATGGCAGCGGTGCTGTCGGGGCTGCCCTGCTCTCGCTGCTCTGTTTTAATGCAATTCCTTTTACTTGATGTTAATGCAAGTTGTTCCTTACTTAAAGTAATAAAAGGAAATGAAGACACATTCTAAAATGAAACCTGACTCTAATCCATTCATCATCTAATACCAGCCTCTTTATCTTTGCTGGTACCTAATCTGGTTAAATGTCCCTGTTGTAGGATTTTAGTGAAAATCCTCTATGGGGAATAGGGTTTTTTGCAATTGGATTACTCGCAGTAAATGGTCCAGCAGTTTGCTTGTTTCAGCTTAATTTTTTTTTTTGTGATCTTGTAAGGGTAAGTTACAGTTCAGCCTGTCTTTTCATTCATTGACTCATTCTTTCTTTTTATTATTGTTATGAAGAAAAAGATATATATTCCCCCCCCCCCTCGTCCCCCCTTGAGCTAGGAATGTGAAAAGAAAAAGAAAAACCTCCTGATATCTATGTGATTTTTCCCTCCACAAGAGTTTGAATTTCAATGGCTTTATCTATGTTTTTGCCATTATTTATACAGATAAATATTTTAGTAGCCTATTTCATCAGTATCCAGTTTCCATTTATTAGCACTCTGATGAATTGATAATTAATCAGCTCCTCTAAAATATATATATATAAAATATGCAGGTGATTGCTTGTCAGATTAATGCTTGCTGATGAAGGGAATACTCTTGCACTACAAAGGCTTTTTATCTGGAGTATTTGCAATGAGCAGTAAAATGCAGAACTGAAAGTGAGGACAGGAAGGGGAAAGGAAAAGACCTATAGGTCAGTGAGCATTTGGGTCTCTTGCTAATTAAATGGGGAACTCTGTCAGCCCCTCACTGAGGAGTCTGCCTGCATCTTCGAGGTGAAGCCCAAGATTATAAAATAGAAAGGACAAATTTTAAAGAATTGCTGTTGTTCCGTACAGGAGCACGACAGGTCAAAAAGATGAAAGAAACTCAAGAGCAGGGAAAGTGTGTGAGCAGATTTTAAGCAAGAGGGTGGGAAAGCTGCAAGGTTGGCACCAAGAAGGGATCCGGAAGAGCATGGAGCTCACGGGAATCCTAGGTGCTCTGTTTGCTGCATGTTGTGCCTTGTGCTGCAGTGGGGAGAGTGCAGCCTTCCTCTAATGCCATCGACCTTTCTCTCTTGACAGTCTAACAAAGTGCCAGTTGTGCAGCACCCGCACCATGTACACCCTCTTACACCGCTTATCACGTACAGCAATGAGCACTTCACACCAGGAAACCCTCCTCCACACTTACCAGCCGATGTAGATCCAAAAACAGGTAGGTGAGAAATAGTTTTGGGTTTTGAGAGAGTGTGGGTGGATCTCTCCGTTCTTCATATTATGGGGAAGGATTTCCCATGCTGGAGCACCAAAGGAGGCATGTAAAATGTCAAATGCATGTGAGAATCTGGACAAAATAGTTTCTTTTGAAGCTAATTAGGCTTCAGAAGGAAACCTACTGGGTGAATTTTCATAAAGCTTCTGCAAAGTGACACCAGACTTGCATGTGTGGGGTCGTTTGCAGGTGTGTTTCTGTGCAATCATGATACCCCATCCCGTAGTCAGACATGCTAACTGCTTGGTTTGCATGCACGACCCAGAGAGTTAAACATGTACGTTCTGTGATCTGCACTTACAAAATTGCAGCTGGAATTTTAAAGGTGGTGGGTCATGACCAGTTTCAAAATGAATCTCTTTTAATTCCCCAAATCCCATTGTTTCTGTGTCAGGAGTTCAGCCATTTTTCTCCTATTATGTTGAATTTTCATCCGCTCTAACTACTTAACTCAAGCTATCTTCTTGCAACTCTTTTCCCCAATGTAAGTGTACCCAACTCTCAGTTCAGCCTGAAGGGCAGTCTTTGTGAATATAGAGCAATGTGTAAAACCCTGACTAGATTTTTTGGTGTTACAGAATAGAATTTACATGTTATTCTAACTTTTAAAGAGTCCCTATTTAACCCGAGGGCCCGGAGAAGTCAAACAGCGTCAATCTTCTTTCTTCAGGCTGCACTGAGCTCCTAGTGACAGTGGTTTTGTTTTTGTTAATCCAAGTGCCAGCTAGTTAATTGGAAAGAGCATCTGAAACTGAATCCAAGTTCAGAGTTTGTCAAAAGAATTGCCCTGTGTTGCCCTAACATATGCAGATAATTTATTTAAGCTCCAGCCCTTGAACGAGGCAGTGCATTAGCTGTTTTTCACTCCATACACTTCAGTGGGGGCCCCTTTTAATTGTCCTTAATACTAACTTCACGTGGCTTAAAAGGAATCCATCTCGCCATCACTGGGTGTTGCAAGAGAATAGCAACCTCTCATTTAAATTATGGTAGTACAGGGAATAGCTTTTAAATGGTTATCGTAAAACATATGATTAACGTCCATAGACTGTTTGCTTTTCTTCAGTGAACATTCTTTCAAGTGTGCAAATAGCTCACCGGATGGTTAAAGCCCAGTTAATCTGTTTGGTTTTTGTAATGGAGAAAAAGCAGTGTCTGCATGAAAATCTCACAAGGAGATTTAATTTAGAGATTAAGGGCTTCCCGAGTGACTTAAAAAAATAGTTTTTAGCCATTATTATGGTCCCCCCTCCTTTTAACATCCTCTGTTTTAATTTTACTTTAGCTATGTAATTGTGCTCTGACTTGTTACTTGAAAGTCTCAGTCCTGTAGCCTTTACTCCTCCCCTGAGTAATTCCTACTTGCTTCTAAGGCAAGGATCCTAAGGTTTGAGCTTCCACTCTGCTCCCTGAGAGGGAGTTGCACCAGTTTCAGAGAGAATTGATGGGCTTCCTGTTCTACCCGTTACACCTTCAGCCTCTGCCCCCTATTTTACCAAGCACTTCCAGGCTCTATCATTGCTTTTATTTTTCTGCTCTTCTGTTTGGTTTTGCAGAAGTTTAGGAGTGCAAAACCAAGTGTCATTCATGTGCTTCAAAAGCAAACACCATTTGGAATTCTAACAACTTTCTAACTCTTTTTGGAGGTTGCTTTGGAATATTGCCCTGCTATTGAGTGTGCAGTTGAAGTAAGGGTAGAGCCTGTGCTCTTTTGGAGAGTTTGAGAGCGAATAAACCACAAACTTGATTGTTCTGTTGATCACTGAAGACAGCACCTAGCACAGCATCTCACCAGAACAGTAGCTGAGGCTTCTACGTTCTTCACTTTAATAACAAAATAATTATGTCTGAGGAGATGACAGAGAGAATTGCGTCAGTTTTTCTGGTTGAAACTCATTTATCAAGATGCCAAGAGGCCATTTATAAGACTGTGAAACAGCTTGTAAAAACTCAAAGAAAGTCACGAGTATTGGAGTGAGAAAGAAGAGATAGCGATGTAGAAACATATAATTCTACCTTATGTTAACTTTCTCCAGTGTCTCAACACTAACCTCACTTTATGTTCCTTTTCCGCAGGAATTCCAAGGCCTCCACATCCTCCAGACATATCTCCTTATTATCCCCTATCACCAGGCACTGTAGGACAAATCCCCCATCCGCTAGGATGGTTAGTACCACAGTAAGGAGTTCCATTTTTTTAATTTCCATTTTCTTTTTTGATGTATAAAATTCATGTTAAAAACTGTGTGTGTGTGCGCGCCTGTGTGTACGTACTGAGATAAGTCTGTTTGCCAACTGCCACTTTATTGAGTGATTATCAATTTACCCATCTCATAAAAATTAATTAAAACTCGCACCAAGTCATGTGGTCTTAAACAAACACAGGCAGCTGCGCACAGCTTTGCATGTTGTCTCAACCGACTGATGGCTCGTGAAGCATGCATTTTTAAGCTGTTCTGCAGAAACGTTCTTTTCTTGTTAGTACCTTTACACTAACCACATTTGTTTGTTTAATACACCCTCATGTTTGGTTTTCTGTGAGTTCACAGTGGATCTAATAGACTTCTTACATTTTTTTAACGGGGCCATCCTCATTATAAATGTGAAAGTTTAAATTTCTTTGGCTTTCCCTGTTAAAGCCCCATTCGTTTTTCTTGTGAAATAGTAGAGCTTTACATCAACTGGTGGACAGCATTCCTGGCTGAGACCGGGTTGGACAGTTGGAATCTATGGAATGGAGTTTTCTTGCAAACAAGAAAGAGGAATTAGCTTACTTTAAAACTGGCTAAGAAAAAAAGCCATATGAAGTAGTTGTTGGGTTTTTTGCTTATTTTGGTGTGTTGGTTTTTTTGTTTGCTTGTTTGTTTGTTTTGTTTTCCCAACTCTTTATATTCCACTTGCACAGCCCTGTTGAGCATAAGGCTCCCTCCAATAACTGAGCCTTTCTTTTTTTCTTCTTTTTTTTTTTTTTTAAATTTTGCCACCTCTGCAATGGGTTTGTGACACATTTAAGCACTTCCTAGGCCTTGTGTACACTATATTCTGTTTTAATTCTCATAAAATACACTTGTGCTGCTGTATACAATGGCTCTCTATATTATAGATCAAGGTCATTACTTCATTTTTCTCACATAGCCAGCTTCATCAGTATCAGGGAGATCATATTTCTTTAGAAATTACTTGCTCAAAGCTAGAAATTGCTTGTTCCTGCTTTAGGTTGTTTGGCCTTCTGTGCTAAAATACCTGTCTGTGAGTTTGCCTTCCCTAAGGCAACAGAATTCACACCCACGGGAGAGTTGGGATGAGTGGAGGCTGCACACGCACGTTGGCATCTAGGGGCACTGATACCTGGTGTGCTGGAGCTCAGGCCTCAGCAGTCCACTTGTGGCCTCTCTGCAAGTCTTCTTTTGTGGTAATGCCACTTGTGTGGGCTAGAGACTTTCTCTCACTGAAGGGGAAGCACTCCACCAGCAATCTGCAGAAGGCTGAGTTTCTCCAGAAGAGCATAGCATGAGCAGAACAAAAGCCCAGAGTGTTGCTCTCTGAAATTATAAATTCCACCTTGCTTGTGGTGATTCACATTTGTGTAAGACACCTTGAACCCATGTCAGCTTATTTTTTTTCCTTCTTTCCTACCTACAAGGCCTGGCTGAAGTAAAGGCAGCACAGGCTCAGAGCTGTGTTGCAACTACTTAGCTCAAGTTTGCAGATCAGAAGCCTCAGCGTTAAATATACTCAATAAATGCTGAGTCGGTAATTTTAGAGATGACAGAAACTAGGAAGAAATTCCTCACTGTTGTTGACCTGTGCCTTATTGCACATCATTATCTTGAAGAGTTTTACGTGTGCAGACACAGGTTTGTTCTCCTTGAACCTCGTGATGTGGTGCCAAACTCACATAAGCGTTGCCACACGTGACCAATTTCATCAGGAAGGTGATAATGGTCATCTTTGTCATGGAAAGACTAGATCATCACCACTGGTTTATAGCAAGCCAACACCCATGGTGTATTTGTCTACTCATAGCTCTTAGTCAAATGGCTTTTGTTGAGGGATATCATCTTGTTCACTCTTGCTCTAGAAGAGTAGTATGGCCAATTTTGAAGAAGTAATGCAAGGTTTTTATTTTCCTTCTCATTGCCACTCATGGTTCACCCTCAACTTCCCAACCCATCTACCCTCAACTAACATGAATGTCTCTAGCATAGTAGCCCCCCAGAATGCAGCCTGCCCATTCAAATGACATAGTTGAAGGACAGATGAAAAGAACCAGCCAACACAGACAAATCTCAGTCAGAAAAAGTTGTGCGTCTTTCATGAGGATGCTGTTTTGCATGTTGCTGTATTTTTTAATTATTGTAATGAGGTGTGATTGTCTATTGGTTACCCACAATACTTCTTGGGGACTCTCCCCCGGTAACTCTTGTCAACACTTGTTAATCTGACAAAAGGCTACAAATTAAGCTCTGTTAATTTAATGTTTTCTCACCGAGATCTAAATACCGAAAGAGGCCCAAAGCGCAACTGAAGTCCTTTGATTCACTGTACTTTATTTTGGTATAAATTTACATTCATTATTGTTTTCCTTTGGATGTGTAGCCCTCAATTAGTGTGATGGCTCCATTAAAGCAAGCGAGACTTCGCCTTTAATTATTACAACAAAACACCTAGTTTCAGCTTGGGGAGAGGGTCTCTATTGACATAAGCAGAGGTTATAAAATTTAATTAGCCATTCCTATCAGATTTATGGCATTCAAATTGTTCTGTGTTTCTTTCCTTTGATCCTTGCTGTACAATCCCCAAGATTTTTGTTCTGATCAAATGAGAATAAAGCTTACTGCGCAGAGAGAAGTTTTTTGTTGTTTTTTTTTTAAAAAAACCCTTTTTTCTTTCTCTCATTCTCTCTTTCCCTTCTTTTTGCCAGGCAAGGTCAGCCAGTGTACCCAATCACGACAGGGGGTTTCCGCCACCCTTACCCAACAGCTCTGACTGTCAATGCTTCCATGTCAAGGTGAGTTCAAATACTGAGGTCCTGAGTTGAGAGCAAGCTTAACTCCTCCCGCTACTTTCTCTAGAGGAGGGCATTTCATCTAGGAAACCTAATCCTGAAAGCACCTCAGTTAAACTTTTGTTTTTTGGGAGCATGGAGAAGGAGAGCATGAGCAGCATCCTCAAATTTCATGAGAACAGGATGTCTTGCTGCTCTCATTGGGCTTTAAGAATTTGTTTTTGAGAGAGAGATGGAGTAGTGGAAAGCCGTGTTTAAATGAAAAATCTGAGAAAAAGTGATTTTTAAAAAGCAAGGAGGAGAAATTGTGACACCTTTTGCTTTCTCAGAGCAGCAGCCTGTGTGCAAGAGGAGAGACTGTGGAGTGGGGGGCTGCCCTGCAAGCAGCAGGTTAGGAGGAAGGCTATTGCACTGTGTTTTCCCTACCAAATCTCCAAACACTGACAGTCAACATAAAAGGGCCTGCCTGACCCTCTAAAGCTTCAGAAGTATATGTTTCTCCCCCTCCCTACCTCCAATTAATTCCATCTAATTTTCCAGGGGCTGCTAGTTTTATTTACAAACTGGTTGGCAGCACTATGTTTAAGTAATCACTAATTGCTCCTAATGATGGTTTTATTTTCTGTTCATCTGATTTTCAGTCTGGTTAATTAAATCGGTGGAGGTTTAGACTTTCCTGATGGGCTGAAACAGCTAATCCATTTTGATGATGGCACATAATTAAATTAGCATGAATTACATAGCAAGGTTCCATGTCCCTTCCCTTCTCTGTCCCTTCCTTTCCATCTCTGCAGTCTAATATGTGAAGGTTGGCATATAGAGGATTTAAGGAGGAAAAGATTAGGTGATGGGGGGAAAAAGCACACCTTCTTAAGCAGTGAAAACCTGTAAGTAGAGCTATGAGTGAATGAAGGGGGGGAAATACTGTGCTGTGTACTCTAGATACGTAGAGTAAAAGCAGAAATTCAAATCTGCTCACACTGCTCCAGCAAGTACAGAAAGGCAACTAGAAAAACCAACTGAAAAAAAAATAAAATTAATGGACCCAGAGGAGGGGAGAAAAAAATCCTGTGTTGGAAAGAGAGCTGCAAATTTAAACAATAATTCCTTCGCTCTGTTTAATCTTTTTAAATATCTATAAAAGACTTGCAGGCATGGTGTGAGGCAAAGTAGAGCTTGATTTAGTTTAATTATTATTAGAGAGGCTAGTCATTTGGGGGAGGGGGGTGCTGTGGGAGGGGGCAGGCTATATTCCCAAGATAGGCTTTATGAAAGGTATCTAGTTAAAAAGAGTACACAGCAAATTAAATACATTATTGTGGTAATGGGACGACAGAAGTAGAGGTCTATTATACTTATGGCAGTTATAGGAAATGTAGGCTCCTTGCCCTGTTCTAGCACATCCTTTGATATTCATTCCATTCAGCAGCAGGGCCAGGACTTCTCAGAATTAAGTGATGGGTCATTATACTTTAAACACCATGGAGAAGCCTAGATTGGCAATTAAACAGCACTTGCTGACACTCGCTTGTGCCACCCTGTGACCCCCTTTAGATTGAGTTGTTGGAGCTCGGGGCCCTCAGCCTGCTAAATTGGTAGCAGGCACTTCTCCTGACGAGGGCTGGCTCTGAAATCTGCCGGCTTCAAAGGGAGCAAGATCATGTATAAACCATAATGTGGGTGCACCGTGGCTCAAAAAATAAGGCAGGAATAGATGAAATGTTACAAGTGCAAGGGGAAAATGAGAGAATAATGACAAATCTAATGCAACTCAAAGCAGAATTGTTGCACAGAAAAATGCATCCCACTGCTTGTGCATAAAATCAAGGCAGGCAGATGACATCCAGTTAACAGAAACATGTCAACAGTGAAGTAAAGTGAGAGTGAGTAAGAGAGAAGCCCCTGAGACAGCCAGGAACAAAAAATTAGTTGTCCTTAACAAGTTAAGACTCATCATTATATTCTGGCTTGGAGCCATAAAAGGAGACGGTGGTATATAATGAGCTGCTTAGAATTTTTAGGGTGTTTATTGCAATTCATGGAATACTTGTCTAGAGAAAAAAATACAGGGGGATGTCTTAGGCAAAGGTGAGGGGTGTGTGTATGCACACAGCCTTTCTTTTTGTCTCTTGACATGTGCCCATACGCACACAGACGCTCAGGCACACACACAGGATGATGAATAGATTTAAGATGTTTATCCTTTGTTTCAGCCCAGAAACTTCTCTCTTGGTTTCCCCTCTATGGGAACACCCTCTGGGCATACCTGCTCTCATACACGTTTCTTCACGCCTGCCTTATCAGCTGGAGCACCTGTGCTGGGCAGTGGGACAGCCCTTACCCTTAGTCACTGGCTTGGCTAAGCAATGGGGCTGATGTGCCCGGGCTGCTTGTGCCTACCCACAGACCTGCCCTCTGGGCAGAGCCTCAGCGTGTGATGAGAAGGCAGACCCCAGCCTCACCACACTATTCTCAGAGACCTTATCCATGGCTTTCCTGAGTTTTTCTTTCAAAGGGATTCCCTCATTTGCCTACGTTATGATGTAGACCTTTGGAGCATATAATGCTTCCTAGCCCAGAATATTCCCAAAGCTAAGTAATTACAGTTCATTAGTTAGTGTGCTTATGAATAGTTTATAAAAGGTTAATGGGTGACTAATAGTGATTTTAATAAATGATTTAAACTATTAAGGTAGTGTCTTCAGGTTGTTTTAACCACTTACAACTCTTTTCTCCTCTTGTAACAACATCCCACTCACTTCTTATGCATTCAACACACTTATAACATCTTCTGATCCTTCATTACCCCTCTAAAATATGCTCATAATGCAAAATGAGACAGGGTTAACTGACTGATGGGCAAACAGTGGACCTATTGTGAAAAAACAACTGATGTGAGGGGAAATCAGGAAATAATTGAACAGAATTATTCCAGGCAAACGCTGCACAGCAGTTAAGTGGTGGCAGTGGAAAATACCTGTTGTAATTGAAATTTCAGAGGAAACTCACTTTTGCTGAATGCAATTACTGAAGTTGGAGTGCAGCCAGGAACTTAAAAATTAATGCTTTGCCCCTTTCTTATTGCTGCGTGACTGGATGTCTACATGGAAATCAGTAGGCCTTGGGCTTTGAGTCTAATTCCCTGCTCACTGGAGTCCATGGGATGCTGTGATCCATTTTGGGATTTGGAGCATATTAGTACAGCCCATACATTGAAAGGAATGTCCAGGTCCAACAGAAAGTGTTGTGTCAGGACAGATGCATTTTCAGCATGCAATAATAAATGTTCACTGGCAATGAACACAAAACTTCCTTTGGAAAAACTGCTATCCCAAAATGACTGCTGAGCTCTAGCTGCCTGCTAGGAAGGTGGCCGTGTCTGAAGTGTAGAGTTCACTGGGTGAGGTATGAGCCTAGCAAAAGTCAGGGAAGGTTTTGCCATTTTGTTCCACACAACTTGTGTGCGTAGCAGATTCCCCCTCTGCTGCTCTTCCTCCCCAGCTAGTCGCTCTTCCTACAGGCACTCTTTTTTCTAAATGGCAAGTGGGAAAGCATTTCTCCCATAATTTGGGAAAAAGTTACAATTTAAGCAGATTTTCTTCACTCTCCTCAATTTTTGATTAGCTGGAGATGCCTAAGTCTTCATTAAAAATAAACCCATAGAGTAATATCCTCCATTTTGTTGAATTTCCTTCCTTTGAAGATCCTGATGATACAACAACCCAACATGTAGGCAGTGTTCATTTTTCAGTGTTTTTTAATTTTTTATCAGATCTACATTCAGCAGCAAGTCCATGACCCAGTTATCACAGCTGCTCCCTGGGGTCCCGTTCAGAACTTAACAGACACCACCTTTTGTCCCCACTAACTCCTCTTGTAATCAGCCTTTTGTGACACTTCGTAGCCCTTCCACAGCAGTGTCTGACCCTGTTGAGGCCCGCTCTCATACCCTTCTGTCCTTGTGCTATCACTGAGAGCAGAAGAAAGCAATGTAAAGGTGCACTTTTTGTCTTAGAATCATAGAATCATAGAATCACCAAGGTTGGAAAAGACCTAAAAGATCATCCAGTCCAACCGTTCACCTATTCCCAATAGCTCCCACTAAACCATGTCCCTCAACACAACATCCAGCCTTTCCCTGAACACCCCCAGGGTCGGTGACTCCACCACCTCTCTGGGTAGTCCATTCCAGTCTTGGTGGTGGTGGGGCAGTGCCATGGCAGAAGACCTGTCCACTGGTCTCTTTGCAGGCTCACCTTTCCCTTCTGTTATAACCTGCCATGTACCAATGCATTTCCCCAGACTTTCACTTCTCCTTCAGCTAATTCTTTCAGGGAGCAGTGAAAGCACTTTGACAGACCATTTGGAGATTTGTGTCCATGTGTCTTGAGCAAAAGTAGAAACACAAAGAATGACCATTTTGCTAACATTCTCTTCCTCCATTGCCATCACACTCTTCTCTTTTCCTTTTCTCCACGTCTTTGTTTGTAGGAGCTGCATTTCTCTGTAGTCTGAACAATTTCACATTCTTCCTGTCAGACCCAGCTCTTCCCACCACTGCCTTCAAAGATAGAATTCTTCTGTCTAACGATCTTGAGTACTACCAGCTGGTAGACAAAGATGCACAGAGCTCACAGCAGACAATACTTCTTGTTTATGAAAGTACTTCTGTGTCATCTTCTGAATATAGAGAATGTCTAGGCAAGTTTTTGGATTTTAAGTTCAGTAATGGAATTTCTAAGAGAGGAGAAAATATAAAGAAAACCCATTGTATTTCTGATGATTGCATACAGTCTATTTAATCATAGTATATCAATTTCATTTTAAACTGTTAGCTAGGAAAATATCATACGTCAGTGATGGATGAAATAATTATTTATGCCCTTGAACATTCCATATTCTTAGGGTTCTTTATTTGGACCAAGACAGGTCAAAATCTGAGATAAGTCTAGGAATTTACAATGAAAAAGAACTTCCGGTTTGCCAGATCCATTTAGCCATGAAATTTTTGTGGGAAGATATTTTTAAGTCAGAATTTTAGGCTAGATCCCATCCCCTAGAGGCCTGTTGACTCCAGTGGGTGTTTTCTATGGCAGTAGCTCAGTCGTATTGTGCTTTCCTTATTCACTGCAAAACCTTTTTGAAATAACTGAGGAATAATAACTTAGTAATGTTTTTGAGAAATTTGTTAATTTCAGTTAAAAATTAGAAAATACGAATGATAGTTGTATGTTTGTGCTGTGGCCTCACTCTAGTAATTAGATTTGTGCAGAGGGTTGCACAGCCTTCTGCGTCCAATTGCAGGACTGGGACCTATCCATGTATTTGACCACAAAGCTGGCAATATTTTTTCTCTTTAGAGAGACTGTTATTTTACTTGAATTTAAGCCTTAGTGGGTTACGTTAACATATCAAAATTGACTTAATTCTACAGTCTTCCAGCCTTCTATTATGAGCAGTGTGTCTCAAAGATTTATTAGACACAAATAAATATTTTCTTCTGCTCCATCAACAAAATGTACCTAATGAGGCTTCTATAAGGATTATCAAAAATGCATCTGGATTGTGTTGGCATTAATATTTTATTTTGCTGTCAATATGCAACAAAAGATGTCATCCCAAATTCACAACATGATTCAGAACTACAAAAATTGATTCCTTAGTTGCCACAGATAATTTCTTAGTAAAGAAATGGACTGGTGGATTTTTTGCAGGTAGCTGAAATTCCACTTTCATCCAAGTTCATCCAGTTGAATTTGCCTTTTGTTAAAGATGTTAAAAATCATGATGTCTCATGTCAGTAATGATAATGAAGGGGAAGCTTGGCTTTAATGACATTAGAAGAGTCATTATGTTTAATTTATTGCTAATTAATGCTGCCAGCTTTCATATGCTTTGTCTAGCTGTCATGTGCTTGTTATATGCCTTTTTTTTTTTTTTTTTTAATGTGTGTACACATCCCTCCCCATTCATTCATTTTTATTCTGACGATTTACACAGCTTTCTCTCCTCTAGGTTTCCTCCACACATGGTCCCGCCACACCATAGTTTACATACAACTGGAATCCCTCATCCGGCCATAGTCACACCAACAGTCAAACAAGAATCTTCCCAGAGTGATGTCGGCTCACTCCACAGCTCGTAAGTTTTTGCTTCATAGCATTGTCTTTATCACCCATAAAGTATCACCTTTGCATGTGTAGCTTTAAAAACCCTTGAGTCTGTGGCAATGTTTTTGCTGTAAAATATTCTTAAATTGCTTTTTCTCCTTTTGTTTTGTCTGATTGAGTTGGATGGAGTTTAACTATCAAAGCACATGAAAATAATGCTAACAGTCTTTCAGATTGCTTCTGTGACATAGACAATTAGGTATTAATTTCTCCCCATTTTAACAAGAAAATAGATTTTTTTTAATTTATAATTAAGCTTTTTGACAGTTTTCCTGTCACGCAGTGCCTACTTTGAAGCCATAAGATACCAGATACACAACAGGAGAAGATAAATTTGATCATGAACAACTTGCAGATAGGTGCAGAGAGAGCTGATATCAGGTTTAGGTTTGAACCAAGAGAGTAGTACCCTATCTCTGCCCCTTGCATGTCTGGAGCTTCCTCCCTTTCATGTCATTTGTGTACCAGAGAAACAGCATTTCAGTTCCCAGGGACGTTGGGATGTAATTATTTCCTCTACCATCATGCTCACAAGCCCTCCCCATGAACTAAGAACCTATTTTCTGGGCCTGGGTGTCCATGTCCTTCTGAGGTTATTCTAGGGGCCTAGGATATACTTGATGATATTACATAAACATGAGAGAAGGTTTTTTTTATAATGCTGTTAAAACTGTTCCAGTGCAGCAGCCGGGGCAAGGGCTCTAGAGAACCTTCTGTTCCTCTTTCTAGAGACTAATTTCTGAGGATTAATGTTAAGGGATTGAGGGGATTAATTTAATAAATTCACAAGAGTTCTCACTGTGAGGTTTTTGTCTGTTGTATCTTTACCCTTCAGAAAGCATCAGGACTCCAAAAAAGAAGAAGAGAAAAAGAAGCCACACATAAAGAAACCTCTTAATGCATTTATGTTGTATATGAAGGAAATGAGAGCAAAAGTTGTAGCAGAATGCACATTGAAAGAGAGCGCAGCCATCAACCAAATCCTTGGTCGAAGGGTAGGTGACAGGAGAGAACCACCAGCAGGGTCTGACCTCGGTCAGGCTGCTTGCTGAGAAAAGGAGTTGTGTCCTGAATTGGTGTGTTTTCCTCTGGTTTTCATACTGGATAGGGAAGTATTGTGTGTTCATATAATTCAACTAAACCAAAGGCCTAGTGGTTTTTTTTTGTTTGGTTTGGGTTGTTGGTTTTTTTTGCAGACATTTCTGATGGTGGGGTCACACAATGTGGGGAGAGTTAATTAACAGCAGTATTATTTCAGTGTTATTTCTTTGACCAGTGTATGGAAAAATCACAAATCTTATTTTGTCTTAGAAATGGTCAGGAAAATAAGAGGGGAAGAAGAAGGTCTTTAGGAAGTATGGTCCAAGTATTGGATCTGGAAGAGGGGATGCTGATGGGGGAGGGAGGAAGAGAACTTCTGTAAATCTGTGACTGAGATCTAACACGAAAGATGTGCTTCAGCTTCTGGATCCTCTCCTCTGTTTGGTTTTGTTTAGTTTTCTTAATTCTCTCTCATCAGGAAAATGAAGGGGATGAATAAACATAAACGATTAGTTTTGACTCTGCTGAGTTAGCTGGAGTTACAATCTGGCATTATAAATAAAATATGAATGTCTGTGTGCCAGATCATCTGTTTTTACCAAGTTTTTAATGCAAATCATATTTAGCTGTATTTATATACAAATAATCTACTCTGGTGTTAACACACTTTAAAAAAACACCTGTGTTTTCTCTTTTTTCTCTTTTCTTCACCTCAGTGGCATGCGTTATCCAGAGAAGAACAAGCGAAATACTATGAACTAGCAAGAAAGGAACGACAGCTTCATATGCAGCTGTACCCGGGCTGGTCCGCACGGGATAACTATGTAGGTTCCTATGTAGGTGGAAATTTTTTTAGTAGTAGAGCTTGTAGAAATGTATATGTGACCTGCTGAACTACGACCACACATTGCACACAAGCACTACTTGGAAAGCGTGCCTCAGGATCCCAATCTGGTAACAGCAACGGACGCTTCCCTCTGCGATACTAAAACTATTGGGGATAATTCACAGCCCTCCACTTGGAAGAGGCTTCCTGGCTGGGACTAGTAAAAGGTTAGAATTGGGGCATGGCAGTAGAGATCTGTGAAGAAACTCTTGCCTTCACTTTTACCAGCATCTGGAGATGCTATTGGCTTGCAGTTAATTTTAAATTTCATTATATATTTACATATATATATATATAATTAAATTCCCCTAGTATGGCTCCTCTCCTTTCCACCAAAAATATGAATAATTAGTGTCTTGTGCTTATCTGTGTGAGAGTATAGTGGAAAGTGGAAGAATGACTTATCCTAGCTTCAGAGAAGGACTGGCAAAACCAAAAGCGTGACTTGTTTGAAAGTCTTACTCTCAAGTGGGGTTAAATGAATTATTCCACGCTCTACTGTTGTGTATTTCGATTATGTTCTGCTTTTTCATGGCCATGCTATTATTTTTTCCCCTCATCATTTTTTGAAGAGTATTTTGGAGCTTGTTATCAATTCATGGAGTGTTTTCAAGATTGATTTCCCCCCCTCCACCTTCCAGAAAGCCTGTTTGTAGCTAAAAGCAATAGAATTTTCCGTTAAAAATGTAATGTCAGTGTTGTAACTACTTGCTACTGGTATGTAGCCCCTTCCTCCATGAAGAGTAAGTGGTGCATCTAGTAGTAAGTGCTTACAAGCCTAAATCCAGAAGTTCTTGGCAGATTTGTAGATTGGTGGGAGCTCTAAGCCCTCATTAATAGGATTATAACAGCATCTTGATTATTAAAATTAAAATATAAACCACCTAAAACTTTCCAGATATCTGGTTTTAAAACAAACCTTACTCCCTATCTTCCAGGTAGACTTTCGTGCAAGTTTGGGGATTAGTACATGTAAAATTAACATCAGTTTTGTGTAGTGGTACACGCTTTGTTTTTGTTGATGTCTGTTTCTTCCATCATTGCCACCATCACTACCTAGTATACCATTAATACTGTGTTTTGCCTCAGTCGTGTAACGTGTGCTTTGTGTATGGCAATGTTTACCTCTTAGAGCATTTGTGCTTCCACATGTATGGATGAAAAAATGAGGTCACGGTCTGCAGCACAGCCTAGAGCAGCAGCAGCTCTCTGCACTGTTTCAGCAGTAAAGAATACACATGTTCACCTATTTAGCTACACTTACTTAAGGGCAGTTTTTGAAATCCTTCTATTGTTTCTTGATCATTTTTTTTTCTGTTGGACTCTCCCTCACTCCTTCCTTTGTTTGTTGCTGAAGGTGTAACCGTGTATGCGCTCCTCGGAGGCAATCTGTTCAAGCTGCACGAGGCACTGCTCCTGTTCACAACATTCTCCCTTTCTTTTCAGCATAGTCTGGCCTGAGTGTCAGGCTGTAGGCTTGAGGTAGTTCCTCAGCACTGCACAGTATTGTCATCTTGGGTGTTCAAAAGCGAGTGTAGGCTCAACTTGAGGCTTCAGGAATGCTCGCTCTGTGCAGTGACTGTGCCACCAATGGATGGGCACGTACAAAGCCTTCAGCATTTAGGACCTTTACTTTTGTCCTCACCGTGTGAGCACTGAGAAAGCCTTTCTTCTTGAGCTAAAAAGGACAAGATGAGAAAGCCGACGGTTTCCCAGCAGCTTGATGTTGTACCCCCAAGTGACCTTCAGGGGGAACCTTCCTGCCTGAGGAGAGCACAGGAAGCTTTGCGTCACTTAACTGAATCATTGGCAAGATTTATTTATTTTTCCTTTCTTAGGGTCTCAGGTCCTTCCCTCATCTAGAGCAGGAGCATGTTTTGGGTGCTTGAGACGGTTAGATCATTAGGCATTTTCACATCAGGCACAAGGATGGGGCCAGATGCAGCCAATGTCTTCAGAAACAGAAGCAGTACGTGCAAGAATCACAGCTTTCAGCTGCTCTTAAATAAGAGAAGAGGATTCAGCGAATCCCCTGTGGCTTGCTGGTGTCACAAGACACATTCGCTCTTCCTGCTATCTAATATAAGATGTTAAGTGGTGCTGAGTGTTGGACTCAAAAATATGTAAGGGTTTAGTCACCTTGCCTGCTGGTTGTCTAGAAAATTAGTACCAAAGAACTCTGCAGTTCTGTCAAAACCTATGTTGGTTTGGCTCTGTGGAGGGAGCTGCCAAAATGTTTAGCAAGTATGTTCATCCACATGTCCTTGAAGCCTTGGGATTTGTAGAGAATGATGATGAAAAATGTTGCAGACTCTCTGGGTTCCTGTCTTAGGATGACAGTCTGAGGCAAAGACATAAATGTTCTGCTGTGTACTTGAAGAACTGTTGTCATAGTTATTTCCTTAAGTCCATACAGTAAATGTAGCTACACATTATCTTCTGCAGAAGTTGAATAAGTAATCAAGATAGATGTTTCCCCATAACATTTGCAAAGAACAAAAAAGAAGTTACATTTTCAGTTCTTTATTAGAAAAATTTTCAAGGCTTGTGTTGAAAAGGAACCAGAAATTCCTGGTGCATGGCTGATGTTTCTGTATATCAGTCATTTTTAATAGATTGCTCCCTAGAGAGCTTCTAGTACTTTAATACCTAGCTCGAAGAGTTTGTAAAGGGCTGATGACTCCTGACCTTTGTTCTGGCTGACCATCAAGTGAAAAAGTGATGAGGTCTCAAGTTGGAATAGCCTTTCAGTTCTCAAATGCACTGAAAAATTAATCAAGTTGGCCAGATTAAATAAAAATCAGGCCTATGGTCCTTAGGCAATTGGCTGGTTTCAGTTACATTGTAAAGCTGGGAAAAATTCACTGGCTTTCACAGAGTTACTGTCAAATGAGATCAATACAGATGGAGCAGTCTGAATCTTTTGTATTTCTGTGTTGTACGTGGACTTTGGGGTACCGTGTTTTCCCGGTTACATTCTCAGGGAGTTTTAGGAGCAGTGCTTGTCTGTCTTGTCTTCTCATCATGTTAGACAAATGGGTGCTGTGGCAACTGACTCAGGGTGACAATTTTCCATACCCCCCCAAATGACCTCAGAAGGTGTCTGAGATTGTTTACTCGGCAGACTGTAAGATTACGTGCACATCACTTAAAAGCCCTTTAAAATTGACTGAACACTGTTTTTTCCATCACAGGAAGGTTTCCTAGAACAAGACTGTGCTTGTGACAGCCTGGACAGCAGGGTGGCAGTTTACAGGCAAGGGGAAACAAGTTCAGGACCCCATGCCAGACAGCTGGCTGCTAGGGAGAAGGAACACCGCACCAACAGATCAAAATCTAACGTTCACACTGAGGGAATTTCTTGCTGATACATTCCAGGGAATGCATGATAGTGAGCATGCCAAATGTTACAGCGGATGCGCCAAGCTGAAGCCAACCCTAACCATGTAGCTGGGAACCAAACAAAACTGCTGAGAAAGAGCAGTCTGTCATGTGGGAGAGGCGCTTGGCCCCCTCACAGATACACTCAGTTCTTCAAAAGTACAGTGAGATTCCTTCTTCCAAGCCATGTTTGTTCCCTCTTGACCACAAGGCACTGCTGGTCTGATCTCTTTTCACCAACTTCTCTTACTCTACCACAGCCTTCAAAAGCAGGGGTCTCTGCGCTGATCGCAGTTGATGTTGCAAGCCCAGAAGTTGTTGCTTTTTGTATCTGCTGAGCTATGAAAACAACAAAACCAAACTCTTGTCATTTTGCAGTGGCCTTTTTGTGCTGCTCTGCAGACTGTAGCTCAGTGTTAGAAGAGTCTTCATTGAAAACAGCTTTTCTCTTTTGGGCTATTCTTATCACTTCGTAACTCAGAAGATGATTGTTGGGTTTCCACAGAACTTGAGCTGTTTCTCTTGACTGTGTCCTCTCCCTCTCTGTTGATGGCAAACAGAACTAGCCAGCTCCTGCTTCTCGGGCCTCTTCTGTTCCTTTTCTCCTTTCAGGCAGAAACAGTGACAAATCATATCATCTTACTGGCCAATATCTGGGAAAGAGACACAGTTTGGCAAAATATTGCAGATTTTCTGTGTGACTGAGCAAAATGAGTCTTGGTTGTATCTGGATTTTTGCTTTTCTTGGCTTTGTTTCCTAGGTTGTGAATGCACTTAGAAACCTGCAGTTAGGTTTTGCTCATCATCATGGCTTTCTTGTGTGGTCTAGCATTGCATGCTCATGTGTTTCCCTTCCCTCATTCTCTGCTGTTCCCCTTTCTTTGTTTTCCCTGAGGGAAAACAAGCGAGGTCACAAGTAACTTCTGAAACTCCCAGGTGGAGGTGTGTGTGTGTGTGGCAAATGTTTGTCATCGCTGTGATCCCATCCCAAAAGCAGCATCTTGCAGGCCCCTCTTCAGGGGTCTTAGGGGGGTTGGTGACAGCCCTGGGGAAGCCTGGGGGCGTCTCAGCTTCTCTGGGACAGGGTAAGCAAGCGCAACACTGCTGTCCCCCAGCACAAGACAGGCCCCCACCCTACCGCCGTGCCATCTTACAAGGAGCTGCGTTTTGATTTGATTTTAACCCTTCTCATTTGTGTGTGTGTCACACAGGGAAAGAAGAAGAAGAGGAAAAGGGATAAGCAGCCAGGAGAGACCAACGGTAAGTAAAAATAAGTCTAAATATCTCACCTAGTGGAAGCGTGGCAGTCCCGGTGTCACGCTTGTAGGTAGGGGGGAGGTGGGGGCTCAAGTCTCCCAGCCTGACAGGGGAGCCAGTCCCAATAGTAGATAGCCTTTTTTAAATGCACCCTAATTATTTACGCGTTATTGCCCTTCTAAAACTAGTAACCAAGCCATTGCATGTAAGAGCCTCTTGTGACGTTAGCTGAATTTATTCCTAGTAATTGCAAAGCCTTTAACTGCAGTTCCATAGTTGTAATGCCTATGCCGTTGTTCATAAAGTTGTCTGCTTATTTTACACATATGTGTGCGTGTACGTACGTATGTGTTTGGTATTAATTTGGGCTGTACCTGTGTGTTCTGATGCATGCCTTACAGTGGTAAATCGCACCCATTTTAAATTAAGGAGGTTTGCCATTCTATATAGGAAATTAGAAATACTGCATAGGCAATCTCATAGTCAATTTTGAAGAAGCCCTGACTTAATTTTTTTGAAGCCTTTGTATAATTTGTTCTTTTTTTTCAGAACACAGCGAATGTTTCCTAAATCCTTGCCTTTCACTTCCTCCGATTACAGGTGCTAACGTCATTTTGAGTCATTTAAAATAGTTTATAAACTGCTTTTTAATTTTTTTCCTGCCATTATAGACTTTAACATTAAACACTTATGACATTAAGAAAAAAATACCATCCACACGTTTTTACAGTGTTTATTATCTATATATCTTTATATCTATTATATGTTTGATAGTATTTTTTTTTAGTTTTGCTTCTGTTTTTTTCTTTTTTGTAACAATTGCTATTAAACCGTAATGCAGTAAAAATAACGCAAGAGTTGTACTAACTGTGCAAATTGAATATGCAGTATTTCTTTAAAGAGACTGATAAAGAATGGAAGCAAGTCAGCGATGAACCTCCTTAATCTAATGGCATTTTTCATGGCTCCCACTAAGTCTTCTCACATTAGCATGCAAGTGCATTTTTTTTATTATTATTTTAGTTTTGGATTTTATTTTATTTTATTTTTTGCCTTTCTCCTCAAGCCTACTCATTGCAATTCACTAGCTGTACTAACTCAGCACCTTGCCATGCTTTACGTTTTATTTTCTGGCTGATACTAACATGCTCATTCCGCAATCTGCTTATTCTTATCCATTCTTTTAAGTACAAATTAATCAAAACAAATAAATTGAATGTTATTCCAAAAGCTGCATTATCCCAGGAGATATAATTTCCTTTTTTTTTTTTTTCTTTTTTTTCTTTTTTTCCTCTTATTTTTATTTCGTATCTGAGTTGAAGAAAAAAGCATGTTCAGGATCTAACTTCCATACTCAGCTTCTTTTCTTCCTTTTTTTCCCGCCTCAAAAAAGAAAAGAAAAAAAAAAAACAAAAAGAAAAGAGAATAAAAAAACCCAACCCACACAAATCTTGCCTAAAACATCCTGCTAGACCAGCCACGATGACTTTCCTCTACCTGCTCTTTTAAAAGGGAAAGAAACAGTCCTTTATAAAGGGATACTGCAGCTTTAATTGCAACAGCTAATTTCAAGAGTTGAATAAAAATGTGATTATCACTTTTTTAACTTTTAAATTGAAAGTCATTATTTTGCAATTAATAATGAGGACATTGATTTTTATTCCCTTTTTTATTTTTATTTTTTCCTTATTTTTATCTTTCTCTTTTTTTCTCCCCTTTTCTCTACTCCTCCCTCCCTTTCTCTCTCTCTCTCTCTCTCTCTCTCTCTCCCCCTCTCCCCCTTTCTTTTTCCTCTCCCCCTTTCCTGCTCGCTTTTCTTGAACTCATTCAGACCTGAGCGCTCCTAAGAAATGCCGAGCGCGCTTTGGCCTTGATCAACAGAATAACTGGTGCGGCCCCTGCAGGTGTGTATAGTTTTCCCAGACTCGCTATGGCTGATTTGCAGCTGGTTTATTTGGTACTTTCCCCTTTTTTTCCTGCCTTGTTGCTTTGTAGCTCTGTGTTGTGATCTAGAAGACACAAGGGAGTGGGACACTGCCATGAGTTATCGTCTCTCTGAAAGGGTTTTGCTTTTTTTTTTTTTTTTTTTTTTTTCTTCCAGTTTTTATTTTTTATTTTCCTTCCTCTTTGCTGCTGCTAGCCAAAAACCCACTGTAAAACAGCATCAGCCTTAAGCCTCTCTGATCCCTGGCTCAAACACAGCCCTTTCCTCCCGGCCTCCGCTCCAGGACAGTCACGTTGTCGTGGGCTCCCTCAGCCTGCCCTCACATGGCGCTGAGTGCGGTGCCGATGCTGGACGGACGCACGGCGGTGTTGGAAATTTTTGGTTTCATTTTGGCTCATCGTAAAAGTCCTGTTTCTTTCGTGCCTTTGATGTCAGGGGAGATTACCAAATAAAGCGGAGGTGATTAAAAGCTAAACGTAGCTGTAGCTAAGATTAAGCAGTCCAAATGAGCTCTATCCACCATTGTGTTGTATTTTTTGTGTTTACCTTATGCTAACAGATGCAAATACTCCAAAGAAGTGTCGGGCATTGTTCGGGCTTGACCGACAGAGTTTATGGTGCAAACCATGCAGGTATAATACTACCCATTAGGCCTCTGGGGAAATAAAAGCAATCTGTCCTCTTAGTGCATTCGTGTGATTTTGTTTTTTTAATCTTTTTTCCCCACTCCCCACCTTTCTCTTTCCCACAGCATCAATTGCTAATAATCTTTGATCTTTGGAATTTCTTGCTAATTTAATGCCATTTTTCTCTCTTTCTTTACCAATAACCTCTCCCTGGTGGTAGAACTGGGAACAAGAACGCTTGAAGTGCTTGAAGCTGGCAGTTGTTTTTTTGTTTCTTTCCAGATTGTCAGCAAAAAAAAGAATGTTTAGCTGGACATCTATATTTTGTCTTTCATTGGGTCTCTGTCCAGTACCTCCAAAGGCTTAAAACGTTTTGGGACCTGCAGCAGTAGTGCTTTTCAAATGATGATAGATATAAAAGCCAGTGTTTACAGCTTATATCGTACTCACTTTTTTTGGTGTTACGTGCAGAATTAAATTGCTGCCTCTGGGCTCCTGTGCCTCCGTGAGTTTTATGTAGAAATCCTTTTTAAACGATCTGATGTCTTTTTTTTTTTCCTGATTCTGAAAAGACATTTTTTTTCTAAATTTTATCCCAACGTGTGAGCTGTAAACTCCTGAGCTCTAGACAAAACTAATTCCAACTTTAGTAGGACAGTTTCCAGCATTCAAAGGAGTGAAAGACCAGAGAGCCCAAATTTCGACAGCCCATGTTCTACTGGAGTTCAATTCCATGTATGACTCAGTATGTACGTCTTTCTTGGTGGAGGGATACCGAGTAGTTCTTTTCTCATTCCTTTTTCCTTATATGATCGCATTTGGTTAAATTTGTTGTTTCTTTGTTCTGATACAAGCAGTCTTTGAATTTGGAATATTATGATGGTAGGTATTTCAACCCAAACCACACTCTGTGTAGTGATTCCCTCTCCCACATTCTCCCCTCTTACTCATGCCAGTCCCATGTGCTTCATCTCATTTAGAATGTAGATCAGATGTTCATCATATTTTGTGTATGCACGCAGTCTTGTTTGTGCTTAGTGTCGAGGAAAACGTGAATCAAGGATGGTGTTGTATGTCAAAATACTAGATAAGGCACCAAAATTGTTTTCAGATGATTGTCCTGTTTCAGGCATGCTAGTACTGGGTGTTTTGGGGGCTGACATGTTAGATACCAGCATGTATGTTAAGAAACAAGTTTTAAAAGCTGCTGTTTCTTAAAGCTTAAGGAAAGGAAGAAGAGTTCAACAGCTGGGTAGGCACCTTCCATGTGTCAGGACTCGAGTCTCATGTTAAGCAAAGACTTGGATGCTGTGTTTAATCAGGCTTTATTCTGTGGTTAATTTACCAGACACTATCAGCAGATATTTGTGTAGTCTAGAGATACAGTACTGGAAACATGTATGCTATATGCCATGCACCAGAATGGAGGGCACGTCATGTTTGTGTGGCTCTGTATTTCCTTAGTGGCGTAAGTAAGCATCATACTTTTAAAACTACATTTTATCAGCCAAGGGACTTTTCCTTCAGTCTGTGCAGTGCTTATGTTACACATGAAACTTAAACTCTCTCTTAAATTATGCCTGGTTTTGGCCAGAGATCTTTGCTGCACATTAGTGACAACTTTTTTAGACCAGTTTCAGAATCATTTTTGAGCAGCGTGGCCCCTTTTCAGTGGTAAGGTAGCTTTAGGGTTACTGATACAGTCAGCTTTTTTTTTCTTCTTTTTTTTCTTTTAAAACACAGAGACATTTTATCACTGGGTAGTGTAGGGCATTTCTCTCTTAGTTGTTGTCCTAAGCATTACAACATTGCATTTGATAGCATGGTAGCTTTTTGTAGCGCATCTTAAGTAGGTGCTAAAGATGTACAGTTTGCAAATACAAAAAAAAAACCTGAGACATCTTTGCTCACAGCAACCCTTGTCATCATCTGTGGCTTTCACTCTTGGCAATTGCAGTGTTCTGGGTTTTTCTGATGCTGTCCTAGGGCTTATTTCAATGACAGCATGAGCAGGGTCAGTTCTGTTTGTGCCTGGGGTACTGATGTAGCAGCTGACACTTTCAGAGTGTCACACAAGTGGATAATCCTCACAGTGTGCTTCTAAGGGGGGATATGTAGTATTTTTGTTCCCTCTTTAAGAGCTGCAAAACTGAGGCACAAAACGTTCCTCAGATGTTGACTTATTCCCCTTCACCAGGGTTGCCTGAAGTTGTTCACTCCTGGTAAAATTTGGCTTGCAGGGTTTTGGAGTTGTGCCCATCTATTTATTCTGGCCCACCTAACCCTGTCCCCTACATGACCACAGATAGCACATAGTGAAGATGGAGAAGTGTCCCCCCTGCCTTGAACCAAGATTTGTTTAAATGGCTTTTCAGATTAAAAGTGGCCTCACTGTTTAAGAGTTAAACATGGAACAGAAAGAGAGAAAACACTCTGCTTCCTCAGTCCTAATCAAATGAACATTGAAGGTAGCAGACCAGAGTTTTCAGTTTTGAGAGCTGTTAATTCTGCAAGCTCAGGAAGTCAGACAGTTCTTTGGTAGCCTGATATAAGTTGGCTCTGCCATGAGAAATTCCTCATTTCGGGCCACAGAACTTAAAACAGTATTAACAAAATAATTTTTAATTCTCTACATACTAGATTCAAACTGTGAATTAGTGAGATAATTAGCTGCCTTGTGGGTTCAGAGCAATCCAGCTGAATGGCTTCTGGAGCAGTGTCAGTGAGGAGGGCAGAGTTTGGGTCTCTGCTTGGAGTGAGAGGAAACCTTGCAGTCTCCAAGTTGAGAAAACCCACCTTTCAATGCAGGCGTCATCATAGAGTTTTGTGCACATCGCTGTTCTGCTTTGCCACTGGCAGCTGCACAGAAAGTCATAATATGAATTCTGGGTCTGGCAGCATTGCTCAGCTGGAGTAGGAATTGTGGAGGCAGAGGCCAGGAGCAGCAGAAATGCCCATAGCCACGTGCTAGAGGCTTTCCTTGCTGTTTGTTGTTGGTAGAAGAATTAACAGGTTCTGTTTTGAGCCCACCAAGTTAATTTCTTTCTGTCTTTTAACGTTGCTCTAATAAAGCATGGTTTATAGCCTTTACTTGCTGTCCTCTATCTTCCTTTCCTTCTTTTTTAACATTTAAGTTGCATGGATGTCTTTAGTTTTTAGCATGTATTTATCTGCAGGCTAACGTGGTTATAACTCTATTAGCCCTAACTCCTTACCTTGCCAGGGGTACATGGAGCAGAGCCCCTGATTCTCTGGAGGAAGGAAGCCACAACCCTGATCTGCACTAAAGCAGGTGGAAAGATGGGGTTCTGGTCTGCAACTCCCTTCCTGGCTATGGGACATCTAATGCCAGGCTCAAGCTGGTTAGATCTCCCATGCAGCTGAGAAATGTCCAGTCCCAGTGCCTAGGATTGACCCAATGCTATATATAGGGGAGCATAGTGACTACCAGAGTTGGAAGTATGTCAAAGCACATGCATGGGGAGTTTCACACAATGATGTTCAGCATTGGTGCCACACTTGGGAGATTCTCCTGATGAAGTTGCTGAGCTGGTGAGAAAGGTGTCCATGCTCCTTCATGTTGGTGGCTTTGAGCTGAGCATCCAAAGTTTCTGTGACAGAGCTGCTTTAGACAGACGTGGTCAAATACGTTGGGCTGTGAGAACATGGTCAGCACTTCCCCAGAAAGTGCTTGAGCAGAAGGGCTGGAGAGCTGTCAGTAGGAGGGTCAGGGTGGCCACTCAGTGTCATTCTCCCAGATGCTTCAGTTGTTTGCCTCGTTATTTCTGTCTTGCTGCTTGAACTGTCATGCAGACACTTGGCAAGAGAGGTGGTGTGAGACTGTCATCTGTTTTCATTGCTCCTTTACATTATTAAGGGGACAGAGGGAGGAGAAAAGATTTATTGGGTCACTTATGTGGAGGTGAACTTGTAAGACTCTCATATTCCCCGGTGTGAAATAAATTCCTCATGTTGCTCCTTACCTTTGTGCCTGTCGTCGTGCTCCTCACCCACTGAAATTGGATCCCACTGAAGTGACAAGGATGGCCTCTCAGAGGAAAATTCTCCCAATGCAGACAAGCAGCTTCCCAAATCTACCACTCTGCCTTAAACCAAAAAGTAAAACTGAGTCAATTTAAAGCCACAACCTGCAGGCCATACAACCAGTTATTCTTGTTATTTTGGATCATACTCTGTTTATCCTGTTCTTTTTCTGGTTTTCCTTCTGTTTGATTTGTTGTTTTGTTTTTATTTCCCCTCTCTCATTCTCTCTATTATATTCCTCCTGTCTGACTCTGACCTTTCTGGATTTGGTGTGGTTCTTAACAGAGGAGAAAGCGAGGAGTTTAGGTTGCAGCAGTCTGGCCTCCCAGGGCAGAGCATCGTGAGAGCGGCCAGGTGATGCAGGGTAGAGAGCCCCTTTGAGGTGGCTTGAGATACATTCAACATATCCAGGGCTTTTATTTCCTAAAGATACTTTTTTATTTTTTGAGAGGAAAGTTGAGTCTGTAGATCAGCACAGTGGGCTCGAAAAACTTGCTATATCCAGTTTTGTTAATCTGAAAGTCAGTAAATAGGGCAAGGAAGCGGCCTGAAGAGGAGAGGGATGAAGAGGCAATGGGTGCAGCCTTTCCAAATCCGTTAGCCCAGGGAGGGCTGAGCGGACGGTGCACCGTGGCCGCCTGCCAGCCCCAGGATGGTGCACAGGGCCAGGCCCAAGGCCCCGTGCTGTAGCTGTCTGCGTCGGCATCTCTGCCTTCATTCACAGATAACTCTCTCCCTGTTTCTAGGAGAAAAAAAAAGTGCGTTCGCTACATACAAGGTGAAGGCAGCTGCGTCAGCCCACCCTCTTCAGATGGAAGCTTACTAGACTCTCCTCCGTCCTCCCCCGCCATGCTCGCCTCCCCCTCCAGAGACTCGAAACCACAGACTGAACAAACGCAACCCCTCTCGCTCTCCCTGAAGCCCGACCCGCTGGCGCACCTGGTCATGATGCCGCCGCCATCCTCGCTCGTCCTCGCAGAGAGCGCTGCGAGCAAGCCCGGCGCCCTGCCTGCCGCCAGCTGCCCCAACGGGGCCCTGGACCACGCGCCGGCCGCCCTCCCGCCGGCCACATCCCTCGCACAGCCCTCCACCTCCTCCTTACATTCCCACAGCTCGCTGGTGGGGCCGCAGCCCCAGCCGCTCTCCCTCGTAACCAAGTCCTTAGAATAGCTTTAGCCTCTGTCGCCCTTTCGGTTTCCTTCGGGGGGGTTGGATTCTGTTGGGATTTGGGTTTTGTTTTGTTTTGTTTGTTTTTCTTTTTTTTTTTTAATTTTTTTTCTTTTTTTCTTTTCGTCCTCCTCCTCCTCCTCGTCGTCGTCCACCGTTCGTCGTCGTTTCTCGGTTTCGTTTCCAGTTCGTGCCACATGGCTACATTAGTTGATGTTTTATCGAGTTCATTGGTCAATATTTGACCCATTCTTATTTCAATTTCTCCTTTTTAAATATGTAGATGAGAAAAGCCTCATGATTCTGCCAAAATTTTTATCAACAGCTGTTTAAAGTCTTTGTAGCGTTTAAAAAATATATATATATACATAATTGTTATGTAGTTCCAATAGCTTAGTTTTAAAGACTGATTTTAAAAATTAAAAAAAAGAAAAAAAAAAAGAAAAAAAAAAAAAAAAAAAAGAAGCAATTTTGAAGCAGCCCTTGCCGGAGGCATTGGTTCTTTATTATTTGTATTAAATACGAGCTTGCGAACCAATCATTTTACATCTGGTTTTTAAACCTTGAAGGGCACGGTGAATGCAGTGCCGCTACTACTTCTTTTTTTTTTTTTCCTTCCTCGTGTGAAACAACCTTTATTGTGATGTTACTTGTTATTGTTTAAATGTACAGAAACAAAGGGTTAAAAAAAAATGTGTTAATATACCTTGTTCCATGGTGTTGTTCTTTTTGGGGGAGGGAACGCTACTCAACAATTAAAAGTATCACAACGCTATTGGACCAGTAGTATTTATTGCTTTAGAAATTGCTTGTTGTATCTGTATGTTGTCCCTTTTTAAATGGTTTTTTTCCTCTTTTTTTTTCCTGAAACATTGTATAAAGTTTTTTGGGTTTTTTTTGTTTGTTTGTTTTTTTGCCCTTAGCGTAAGCATCTTATATATAACAACTCATTTGTACAAGGTTTTTAAGTTTATATATAAATGTGTATATATATATTTTTTCCAGGATTTTTTTTTTTTTTTTTTTGACTTCCTTTTGTGATTTTTTTTTTTTTCTGTATGAAACACAGTTGCCACCAAACGGACATTTGCAGACGCGTTTTCCAAGGATCAATAGTGTAAAAAAGATAGAAATCGCTTTAAAAGCCATCACAGAAACACACACACGAAATAAAGAGACTTGAAAACCGAGCAAGGGAATTTTTCACAACACTGTTTGAAAATTAGCAAGGTCCAAGTGTGTCCCGTTCAGAACTGCAGCTGGATCCCCTGCGGCATTAGGACTTTAGGCTGTGTGCAAAATCTCCATGTGCCAAAATTCTCAGTGACTTTTAAACTTTCTCCCGACAACTTTATTATTTTATTATTATTATTTTTTTTAATGCTGTAATTTTTTTGTTCATCATGTTTTGCTGTGATGTTACATAGGTAGATATGTATGTAGTTTTAATGTCACCTATAACAGACGTGTTTGGTAGCAGATTGTCCGGAAAGCATTTAAAATGAAGAGGTATAAACCCTTAAGGGCCAAATTCTGTATATTAGATTATTCATAAAAGGAAAATCAGACTGCCACTTTTATGTACACTTACTACATACAGGTAGGTAGCAAACTTAAAACATAAAAAAAAAAAAAATCTAGGCATGTTGATGTTGCAAAAAACGCTGTATAAAGCTGAAAAATTGTTCATCTGTTCATTCAGTGCCATTGTAGTTGACATGAAGCGATTGTAAAACTGTCTCAGATTTTTCTCTGGTTTATTAAGATGCTAACTATAACATTTTTTGTGAATACTTTGAATGTTTCCTAACAGTTGTGATGTTACTGTTCCGTTTTATGCTCTTATTCCGATTTTCATTTTTAATGGTTTGGAAGCCATTTTTTGTAATGAATAAATGTTCATGCTGTACAGTATCTGTAGCATGCAGTTCTGGATTAATAAAAGCAACTTAGTATGTGCAGAGAACGACTTGTCAACTCATTTATGCATTGACTGCATTTCACTCAGGCCCAAAAGATTGACAACCCCAAAAGATTGACAGGCAGGTAGCTCTGCTCACACCAGGTCCTGCTGCTGCCCCAGCCTGCGACCTGTATGTGCATTTTGCACCAGCCCTCTCCCTGCCCAGCACACGTCTGTGTGAGCAGCAGTAGTTGAAAATGCATTTGATTTCAAATACGAATTCAAGTTTGATTTTATTTGCATACGATTTGGCAAAAGGCAAATAGCATGTGAGTGAAGTCATGTTGTCCTTCCAGTTCGACCCTGACTAGGGGACGGGAGACTGGGGCTGGTGATGCCTTATTTGATCCCAATAATGATCCCAACGCAGGACTGATGCAAACTAAATGTCATTCAGGAGATCTCAGGCAGCCCAGTCAGAATGCTGGTGCTGGTCTTAGGGTTTATCTTCCCTATAGAATTTGTCCCATTTCTGCAATTATTTATTCTTATGCAACGAGCCCTTACAGCTCAGCAGAGCACTGTGCACCCAGCAATCCCCTTAACTGCAGCAATTCCTGTAGGTGCTACACGATGACAATATATGCCTCTGTGCATTCAAAAACTTTTATGAAATGGTTGGTTTGCTTGTTTATTTCAGTGTAAGAGTAGGGACTTTAGCTTCATCATTTCCAGGAATGTCTCACATGTGGATGTCACTGTGGCCTCAGGCACGGAAAATCTCAGCTGTAACAATTTCTACACTGGCACTCGATGGAGAAGTCTGCCAACGGGAACGCTCTGCCACCGCACTCGAGTTGTACTTTTCTTCAGTCTTGGTGAGCTCTGCGGGAAGGGTAAGTGTGCTTCCTCCTGAGGGGAAACAGAGGCACAGAGCGGTGATTTTTTGTGGGGTTTAGTTGCTTTCCAAGGCAGAGAAAAAGGAAGCACCTGAAATACCTGTGCCCCACCTCCATTGGTGGAACCACAGTGGTATGTTGGCTACAGAAGGAATTTGCTTTGCAGAAGGGCAGGGAGATACCAGGTGAAGAACTTCATGTTCAAACAGGATATATAGCACTTCCTATTCTACTGCCTTGTTTAAGGACTGGTCTTCAAAACCAGGGTCAGGTATGTAAACATGATGGTTGTCCCAGGCCCCCTCCCTTCAGCCCCTCAGGGCTCACACACAGTATGAAGGCAATGGGACCGTCGTTGGGGAAAAGGGTATCACCCTCATTCTTTCAAAATGTGCAAGATGCTAAATTTTGCTGTTGTTGGTAGCCAGGAAATTGAACACGATGCTCAAATTACTCTCCCACTACTTAAGGTTTCTGGAGAATATATTTTTCCTTCTCTTAAACATTTTGACTCTTACTAGAACATGGCCATCCATCAGCCAGACAGATGTGCTGCGTCTCTGCTGGGGATAACTGCTCTCCTCTAATGTAAAACATAGTGCTCCGGGGAGAACTTTGAATACCATGATTCAAAGGAGACACCATCAAGGTATGATTCATGTGCTCAGCAAAATGGTGTGTTCTTTGCTTGCTGCATTATTAGCAAGCAGAATCCAAAAACACCGTTCCTGGACAAATTGGTTTTCCTTCTGCGTATTGGTTGAAAGATACACTGAACAGAGCTCATAAGTGGTGGAAAGCTCAAGCTGGGAACCCTTGTATGCTGCGGAGAACAATTGTGTATTCTTTGGATAGCAACTGATTGGGTTTCAGCAGGTTGTGCATTGGCTGTGTCCCTTGAGGGGCTGATGCCTCCTGACTGGCCTCCAAATTCCCATACTCAGAACTCCCAGGCAGAGGCAAAGCTTTGTGGCAGAGCAGAGCCAAGGTTGGCTGCAGGAATGTACCCTGGTCCCCTCTTTGCCCCCAGAGTGGTGTGTGGGGCATGCTGGCATGCTCTGTCCTCACATGAGTTGCCATGGGATAGTGTGGGGCCCGGCATAGAGCAGGCAATTCACTGCAGGTTTGCTTCCATCTGTTTTTATGGGATAAGGCAAGGAAGCAAGTCAGTGTATTTCATGTTCAGGAGGCATTTATTTTCCATTAGCTTTGTAAATCTCATTTTTCACTTAGTGTATGGAATTTTAAAAAGTTTAAGCAATTGCTGACTCAATAAACCAGTGCCACATGGTTTTAAGCTTTGCTTAGATGAAAAAGAAATAATAAGAAAAGGAAAGGGAAGGCAGGAAAAAAAAAAAAAAAAAAAAGAGCAGTCTGTAGAGTCCAATTCATTTCATTAAGCCCTATAAACATGTAAAGAGAACTCGTGATATAATGGCTGCGTGGGCCACTGCAACAAGCGCAAAAGCGAGCAATAATGGCAACAAAAATGAATGTGTGACAACACTACCCAGCTATGTCTTGCATGCATATCAGAATGCTTTGCCACCTGAGACTGCATAAAGACTTTGGATGCTGTGCTGGGAGACATGCTGGAGCTGAAGACCAAATTCAACCCAGCATAAATGCAGAGAGCTTCAGTGATCTATGTTAGATAGGAAGGAGAAGTTCCTACAGCACTGAAACTATGAATATGCCAATGTGCACAGTGACTGTGGCAACTGTTGGATTAGGAGTAGGGCTGGGCAAGTATTCGGACATTCATTTCGAGATGTTCTTGGAAGACATATTGAGATTTTCAAGGCAGATCAGCGACAGCTAAACGCATTCCAACAGCTTGTCATTGTCAATGATGCCATCACATATATTAGGACTTACCTGCCAGTCTCCGGGCTGAATTTCTCCAGGGATCAATACAAAATGTTCTCTAATGGCTTATACCCATGTTTGAAAATTTTCTCTCTCTCCCTTTTTTTTTTCCTGAGGTTGTAATTGCACTGAATTTGGAGGGTGCTGGTCCAGACCTCTAAGACAGTGGAGATCATGAAGCCATGTTTCCATTCAACTGTTTGGACCATCTCCTGATAACTCGTGAAACTTCCTGCATTTTGAACCAGATTAGATAGTGGCAGTGAAATTCCCAGAGACGATAAAATCCCTGTGAATTCCAGGGAAATCTCTGCCGGCACTGAGAAGAGGGCTTCCAGATCCACTGCTGCAGAACAGGCTGGGAGAGATCAGCTGCTATCCATCCCCTCTGGCAGCATCCGATGGCCAATTATCACACATCTACTTCTGGACCAGCATCTGTGCTCTCCTGCCCAACTGGCAGGCCAAGAAGATTAGGTAGGAGACATGGAGAGCATTGGGGTGCTAGAGGGAACAAGGGACATGGGAGAGAGTTAGGGCTATGGGGAAAAGAGGAAATATTGCAGCTGGAATATGCAACATTATGTAAGATTGCAGTGGGGAAGCAAGGGGAGGAGAAGGATGATGGGGAGATAAGAGACACATCTGCAGGACGCCAAGCCTCACTCACATTACTGCTCAGAGAGTAGAGCCGCTCTGAAAAATAGAAGCAGTGGTGTCACAGTTCCTCATGCCCTCACTTCAAGCTGGCTGCTTGCATGCATTCCCAGCAACCCAGCTGGGTTTGTGTAGCAAGAAGGCACTTCTTTTTTTTCTCCCCCAAATAACAGAGATAAGAAAAGACTGTCATCTTATGTGCAAACAGGCCCATTTGTAGTAGCTGGTTCCCAAACATTAGCAAACACCCTGGTTTTAATCTTCCCCCCAGAACATCTTTGCCACTATATTTTGTGTTCCCTTTTGAAAATGCTGCTGGGGTATTTTTGGACCTAACTATGTCTTTTAAATCTGCTCCCTGCTCCCAGCCCCCGCTGCCTCCCTGCCTTCTCCTCCTTCAAACTTATATAATGGCACATTATACAAAATAGCAAAGCAGGTGGTATTTTTAAAGACAGTGAGTGAGCATTTTTTTGGCCTAAATTTGGAATGAAACAGATGGATTTTAAGACTCTGCTTTTTCTATGAATAGTAACCGTTGTTCTCCACTGCCTTAAACACCAGTTTCAAGACCACCTCCAGCAACCAATCAGCACTCTGTTATTTAATTATAACAAAATTCTTAGCTCTGTCTGCTGCTGCATGGGCAAGTGGGGGGCACTGGATCAACTTCTGGAGCCAGGCAGACTTGCCAACAATAATTTTCCTTTTCCCAGAGGGCCTAGGGGGCCTGGAGCGGGTTCCAAGTTCCTCCTAAACTGGCTGTTCAGTTTGGGCTCCCTGACAGAGTGCTTGAAAAGGGTTATAGAAAGGCAGATAAATGCACTTCTTGTTGCAAGCTTCCCTGACAAGCCAGGCCTCCAGAACAGTGATCTCATTCCTGCCTCATTATTAGTGGTGCCAGATTTTTTCCATTAACAGGTAATTGAGTCGAAACTAAAATAAGCAAAGTTTGTTTTATCCAGTGCGTTTTCTTGCTTGCTTGTGAAAGAAAAACACTTTAGAGAGGAGTTTGCTTTTAATGTTCACGGCAATGTATTTACATCCTAGAGATTCCTCCCTGCTCTAGTGCAATTAACCTGACTGGTCTTTTTGTTATTGTTGTTTTGATTTTAAAGCACAGACATTGGTGAGGCTTAATTCTTTTTCTAATGGCTCGAGCTCCTGGGGAGCAGCAGGGCTGAATCTCAGCCCTGTGCAGGGCTGTGCCTTGATCCCGTGTGTGTCTGTACCACGCGGCTGCCTTACCCCCAGCTGCTGGGATGGAGCAGGAGCAGCAGCACAACCGGATGGTGCTGTGCACCAGCACCAGGCTCACAGGGATCTCTCCCGTCCAGTGGGGCTGTGGGATGAGCCAGTGCCCTTCTCTCCTGCCCATGAAGTCTTGCTGAAGAGCAGCACTCCAGCCAGAGCCAAGCAACCATTCAGAGCCAGCAGCTTCAGGCTTCCCTTGGTAGCCACTGGGCCACCTCCTCCTCTTCCTTTGCTGCAGAACCGGGCCTTCAAAGAGTTGGCCTTTCTGTTTTACTTCATACTTCATTCTCTCCTAAAAAGATAAAAGCAGGCAAACTCAAACTTTGAGGTCAAGTTCATAATTGTTTTGAACAGGAATTTCAAATACTGTCTCTTCTTC